TGGTGTGGAGGCCAAGTACACGACGTGGCCAGATTACACGACCCAATATAATCAAACTACCTAAGCTAATCTAACCACCCATAAGTCATAGTGACACCCCAGCAGTCATAGTGTCTCACCCACATGACATAGTGTCACCCATAGCAATCACAGTACCAACCAAATCAATCATAGTGACACACACACACACACACACACACACACAGGGACGTGAGGTTGGTCATCACGGCTTTTTTTATTTATTTTTTTTTATTTTTTTTATTTTATTTATTTATTGGGCACACGTTAAGACAGCTAGTGGGAACAGCCCCCAGTTGATCAAGTCGTGACCCCAAGAAGCTAGTTGGCAGTCCTTCGGAATCGCTGACAGATAAAGGCCAGATAAACATGTTTACCGAGTCCAACTTGTGGCGTTAACCTCCGTAGCCGTTCTTAAGCGCACGGTGCGTTGAAGGGAAAAAATATCACCTGAATATAAGGTAAATCCAGCTTAATTGACCTGAAGATTAATCACCCTAACGCTACCTGGGGGATTAGTTTAGGAGAAGCCATTTGGGTGACTAAGTTAGGTTACGTTTAGGTTAAGGTGGTTAGGTTAACTTCGCATTAGGATGGTTAGGTTAGTTTTAGGATGGTTAGGTTAGGTTAAGCTAGTTTTATAGTTAGGTTTGGTTAGCATTAGGGTGGTTAGGTTAGGTTAGCGGTATAATTAGGTTAACATATCATTAAAAAGGTTAATCTTCAAGTTATAATAAACAAGACAGAAGCAGCCAGATGTGGGTCGGGTGATTCTTGGAATAATTATTGTGGGTATGAAGAACCGTGAATGATTATGTATATTTAGACCACAACACTTGGCTCGCATCTTGGTGGCTGGAGGGGGATTCTAAGTGGTGTTCTCGTGGTGGTAGTAGTAGTAGTAGTAGTGGCTGGCGGGGCTTCGAAGTGGTGTTCTCGTGGTGGTAGTAGTAGTAGTAGTAGTGGCTGGCGGGGCTTCGAAGTGGTGTTCTCGTGGTGGTAGTAGTAGTAGTAGTAGTGGCTGGCGGGGCTTCGAAGTGGTGTTCTCGTTGTAGTAGTGGTAGTGGCTGGCGGGGCTTCGAAGTGGTGTTCTCGAGGTGGTAGCAATTAAATGCAATGTTGTATATCTGGTGACCAAATGTGTTACCTATGTGCCTTTTGACCCGATGTGTAACCTGTGTACCTGGTGTGTACCTGATGTGTAACCTGTGTACCTGATGTGTAACCTGTGTACCTGGTGTGTACCTGATGTGTAACCTGTGTACCTGATGTGTAACCTGTGTACCTGGTGTGTACCTGATGTGTAACCTGTGCAATTAGTGACCGTTTATATACCTGGTGAACCTAATGTGTACCTGGTAGCGTGAGGTGTAACCTGTGTACTCAATGACCTATTATGTACCTGGTGACTCGGTTGTATACCTGGCCGTGGCGTGAGGGCTGTTGTGTGTACCTGGGCTGGCTGGCTGGCTGGCTGGTGGTTACCTTCACCCCGGGCCGTCAGGTATTTAAATACACCTGTCATGAATCAGTTGTTCTCTTGTTTATTTTCCACCTTTAGTTCTGTATATTTCCCTTCAGTATTGTATTTTCACCCTCTGCAGTATTTTTTCCCTCGGTGATGTATTTTCCCCCCTCAGCATTATATTTCCCCTCTCACTGTTGTATTTTTTCCCTCGGTGATGTATTTTTCCCCCTCAGCATTATATTTCCCCTCTCACTGTTGTATTTTTTCCCTCGGTAATGTATTTTCCCCCCTCAGCATTATATTTCCCCTCTCACTGTTGTATTTTTTCCCTCGGTGATGTATTTTCCCCCCTCATGTATTTTCCCCTCACTGTTTTTTTCCCTCGGTGATGTATTTTTCCCCCCTCAGCATTATATTTCCCCTCTCACTGTTGTATTTTTTCCCTCGGTAATGTATTTTCCCCCCTCAGCATTATATTTCCCCTCTCACTGTTGTATTTTTTCCCTCGGTGATGTATTTTCCCCCCTCAGCGTTATATTTCCCCTCTCACTGTTGTATTTTTTCCCTCGGTGATGTATTTTCCCCCACTCAACATTACTCTCCTCACTGTTGTATTTTTTCCCTCGGTAATGTATTTTCCCCCCTCAGCATTATATTTCCCCTCTCACTGTTGTATTTTTTCCCTCGGTGATGTATTTTCCCCCCTCAGCGTTATATTTCCCCTCTCACTGTTGTATTTTTTCCCTCGGTGATGTATTTTCCCCCCTCAGCATTATATTTCCCCTCTCACTGTTGTATTTGTTCCCTCGGCGATCTATCCACCCGTTTAGCCCCGGTAATTATGGGCCATTAATTTGCCTGTTTATTTTGCGTGGTCGCTGTACATACAAACCAAAATAATTATCTTAATTTGGTGTTAAACAATACGACACAACGGACGAAAGATTTTGACAACCCTACCGAGACAACAGGAGTCACAGTGTTCATTTGGAAATCCTTCGCTCTTATCAGTCAAGTTACCTTTTTGAGAGTGTGTACACGTTAAGTGGCCACCAGGTGATGTGTGTGTGTGTATGTGTGTGTTCCCTCCTTGTTCATCACCTGAAGATTACCCCCCCAGTTTATTTAACTTTAAGGTTAACTAACCTAACCTAATCTAATCTAGTCTAATCCAACTAACCTAAACTAATCTAATCTAGTTTAATTTAACCGTCCGGAGTGTTGTGTGTTTATGTGGGGGGTCATGTGTGTAGGTGGTGGGGGAGAGGATGTTATGTGGGGGGTCATGTGTGTAGGTGGTGGGGAGAGGATGTTATGTGGCAGGTCATGTGTGTAGGTGGTGGGGGAAGGATGTTATGTGGGGGTCATGTGTGTGTGTGGGTGGTGGGGGAGAGAGGATGTTGTGGGGGGTCACGTGTGGGTGGTGGGGAGAGGATGTTATGTGGGGGGTCACGTGTGTGTAGGTGGTGGGGAAGGATGTTATATGTGGGTCATGTGTAGGTGGTGGGGGAAGAGGATGTTATGTGGGGGTCATGTGTGTGGGTGGTGGGGGAGAGGATGTTATGTGGGGGTCATGTGTGTGGGTGGTGGGGAGAGGATGTTATGTGGGGGGTCATGTGTGTGTGTGGGTGGTGGGGGAGAGAGGGATGTTGTGGGGTCGTGTGTGGGTGGTGGGGAGAGGATGTTGTGTGGGGTCATGTGTGTAGGTGGTGGGGGAGAGAGGATGTTATGTGGGGTCATGTGTGTGTAGGTGGTGGGGAGAGGATGTTATGTGGGGGTCGTGTGTTTTAGGCAGAGAGGGGGATGAGTAGTGTGTGGGGTTGCAACGCCAGATGTGAGAGGGAGGTGGGTGGGTGGGTGGGGGGTGGGTGGTGGCATTTCCGGCAGAAGACATGACAACCACTGACCCTCTTCTCGCCCCCCCTTTCTATCACTAAGCCTACTTCCCACACACGTCTCCTAGCTGGCCTCCCACACGTCTCCTAGCTGGCCTCCCACACGTCTCCTAGCTCATCTTTCCTACATTTCTTAGCTCGCTTCCCACACGTCTCCTAGCTCTCCTCCCACACGTCTCCTAGTTCGCCTCCTCCACGTCTCCTAGTTCGCCTCCCCTACGTCTCCTATCTCGCCTCCTTCACGTCTCCTATCTCGCCTCCTTCACGTCTCCTATCTCGCCTCCTTCACGTCTCCTATCTCACCTCTAACCTCCCCTTCCTTCACTCTTATTTTTTTGTTGTCATGTTATCTCCCTCTCTCTCCGTGGTACCATTTTTTACTCTCTCTCTCTCTCTCTCTCTCTCTCTCTCTCTCTCTCTCTCTCTGCGTATGTAAATTTATAACCTTTGGCGTAAGTGTTTGGTGTTCGTACGGGTTAAAATAATAAACAGTTTCAACGTCGAGGAAACTTCTAGCTGTCAAATGCCGGAAAAAATTCGTTGTCTGTGTAGTGTAAAATGTCACTCTATGTGTAAGATTTAAACTGGATGACCCCTTTGTGTGTGTGTGTGTGTGTGTGTGTGTGTGTGTGTGTGCGCGTGTGTGCGTGCATGCCTCATTATCTGTGTGTGTGTACATCTCTCGTTATCTGTACAGTATATGTGTACGTCACTGTCTGCCCCCATGAGTGCACTAGTGATTTGTCTTCATTCAGTTGTTTATATTGACTTCATTCATTTGTTTGTATTGATTTCATTCATTTGTTTATATTGACTTCGTTCATTCTTTTATTTGTATTGACTTCATTCATTTGTTTACATTGACTTCGTTCATTCTTTTATTTGTATTGACTTCACTAATTTGTATTGACTTCATTCATTTGTTTGTATTGACTTCACTTGTTTATATTGACTTCATTCATTTGTTTGTTTTTATTTCATCATTACGTCATACATATAGTTATCAGTTAATTTACCCCACTATCATTACCACGTGCCTATTTATATTAGGTTAGTTTAGCATACGATAGGATAGGTTGGGTTAGGTTAGGATAGGTTGGGTTGGGTTAGGTTAGTCTAGGTTAGGATAGGTTGGGTTAGGTTAGGTGTTACGAGGGCTGTATACGTCATTGTGTGGTGGACGTGTACTGATTATAGGTAACCAGCTGTTTCACTGGTTATATATTGCTTGTATAATCCACTGAGCCTGTACCTATAATGGAATAGCTATACAGTACGCTCCTTGTGTCCCAGTGAACCTTTTGGTCTCACTGGGAATGCTAACCTAACACTCAGACTCGAGGATAATCGTAACCTAACTCTATTACTTGAAGATAATCGAAACCTAACACTATTACTTGAAGATAATCGTAACCTAACACTATTACTTGAAGATAATCGTAACTTAACACTATTACTTGAAGATAATCGTAACCTAACACTATTACTTGAAGATAATCGTAACCTAACACTATTACTTGAAGATAATCGTAACTTAACACTATTACTTGAAGATAATCGTAACCTAACACTTAATACTCAAAAGACTCGTTAATTAACGCTGGTCTTCTCTCCTCCAGGTGTGCGTGGCGACATCAGCGAAGATGGTCGCTCCATGTGTGCCTACTACAAGAGGGATGAGGCGCCTCGCGAGACGGGGATGACGGTGGCGGATGCTGTGCCAGGCAAGGAGCTCCTGCTGTTCGACGATCAGGGTAACCAAGCCGTCCTGTGTGCCGCCGCTGACTCCTGCTTCTCCTACTGGACCTACCAGCAGACCGACAACGAGACCTCTATCTCGTGGATCACCAGAGGTCAGTCTCGCTGTGTTTGACCCCTAGCTGTAAGGTCACCACGACACATCACACACTGTAAGGTCACCACGACACATCACACACTGTAAGGTCACCACGACACATCACACAATGTAAGGTCACCACGACACATCACACACTGTAAGGTCACCACGACACATCACACACTGTAAGGTCACCACGATACATCACACAATGTAAGGTCACCACGACACATCACACACACTGTAAGGTCACCACGACACATCACACACTGTAAGGTCACCACGACACATCACACACTGTAAGGTCACCACGACACATCACACACTGTAAGGTCACCACGATACATCACACAATGTAAGGTCACCACGACACATCACACACACTGTAAGGTCACCACGACACATCACACACTGTAAGGTCACCACGACACATCACACACTGTAAGGTCACCACGACACATCACACACTGTAAGGTTACCACTACACACCAGACATATTTTTGTCTGCTATCCGCGGCCATAGTTTTTAAGATAAGAGCTGTGTGTTTATGTAATTGAAGGTGTACTCTGGGGGAAGGTCGGTGCCCCTTGAAATTTGGTTTGGTTAGGTTAGGCACCCCGGATAGTTTAAGGTACAGTGAAATGTGGGGGAAGGTAATGTAGCAAAATATTTCAGTTCAAATACAGTATCAGAAAGGAAAGGAAATTACAGTGAGTATTCCTGTTTTCTATGATTCGTGTAAGATTTTTACAGTGGTTGGAGTAGAGCTGCTGTTGTATCGTTTTGTGGGAGGTCGTGTGGGTAATTCGTGGACGAGGAACCTCAGGTGGCAGAAGGCGTGGGGGCGAGTTTATTGGCATCCTCTTTCTTTCTGTGTAAGGTGAAGCGTAAAGAATTAAGAGTCACCCAACAGGAAAGTGTGGCTGGTGTAACATCTTTGTCTCAAACTGACATAAAGGTCACGATGATGACCAGAGGACTGAGAGGGCCACTGTACTGAGTGCCTCTTGATCGGTGGTGTGAGGGAGATAGTGTGTTGTGTGAGAGAGCCAGCCGGTCGTGATGAGTGCGTGGGTAGTGTGAGCTTCATGACTAATCGATGATCATGTGTGATGTGTTGGGGATTTTGTCTTGGTTGTCATCACCACCACCACACCCTTTGCTTGCTCTCCCTTTCTCCCCTTTGCACCCCTTCCTCCCCTCTCCCGCTCTCTCCCCCCCCCCTTCCTCCCCCTCTGCACCCTTTCCTCCTCTTCCCCCTTCTGCACCCTTTCCTCCTCTTTCCCTCTTTGCATCCTATCTTCCTCACTGTACCCCTTCCTCCCCTCTCTTCCCTGTCTCTCTTCTGCTCTCCCACCTTCCCATCCTCCCCCTTGCCTCTCTATCCTTCCCTCTATTTTTTTCAAGCGCTCCTGTTCTTTTCGTTTCCTCACCTCTCCTCCTCCTTTCTCCCATTACTCCTTACACCCACCTCTTCCTTCTCTCTTCCTCATTTATTCACCCCCCTTCCTCCTGCTTCCTCATTTTGTTGTGGTCTTCTCCTTCACCCTTCCCACGCCCGTCTCATCTCCTCTCCTTTCCTCCTCTCCTTGTTCCCGGCATGGCGTCAGGTTTATTGACTGATGTAGTGTGCAGGTGTGTCCCATGAGTCAGGTGTAGTGTGCAGGTGTGTCTCATGAGTCAGGTGTAGTGTGCAGGTGTGTCTCATGAGTCAGGTGTTGTGTTCAGGTGTGTTTTATCAACCAGGTGTGTGTTCTATTATTCAGAGGTAGTGTGCAGGTTTGTCTCGTGAGTCAGGTGTAGTGTGCAGGTGTGTCCCATCCACCAGGTGTAGTATGCAAGTGTGTGTCATTAGCAAGTGCATTTTGACGACAATTTCAACACGACTCCCACACAATGACGCATACATACATACATACATACATACATGACATTCTTGGCCGTAACCCTTTCATTACTGGACGTTAATATTAATCCTTGGATAACCTAACCTAACCCAACCCTAGACGTTTTATTCAGCACAGAGCCACCTAGTACTCAAGGGGTTAATAAACGGCCAAGTGCTCGATATAACCGATTGGGAACAGTAATAGTTGTCAGGTTTGTTGATGGATGTTGTTGTTGTTAACTCGAGAAAAATCAACGAAAACATTGTGTTGTGTTTATGTAGTGGTGATGGTCTCTCTCTCAGAGCTAAATCATATTTTGAAAGTAGAAATTGCGAGGTCCTGTAAAAATGTCACAGGCTCCTATGTTTAGTATATACTGTGGCCATAGGCTCACTCCTATATACAGTATAGAGGCTGGCCATAGACTCTCCCTGAATATAAAACCCAGGAGGCTTCATACTGCACACATATAGATCCCATTTGCGTAGAGGATGTGGCCTTAGGCTCCCACCTTGTACATAATACCAAGAGACTCCTTTTACACAGTGCAAAAGAGGTTCCCTTGTATAGAGGGTGGCCTGAGGCTCCCCTTGTATATACAGCGGGGAGAGGCAAACACGGAGGAGAGGGCGGGCTGGCCAGCTGACAGTGTCCGCTGTTTGGTTCATCAATAGCCGCTGTTATCATTGAATTCAGCATCCGGGTTTACCTAGCAGAGGAGCAAGAGCCGATTACCTTCTTTTATGACGCGGGCTAGTTTGTCTTGTGGCGCTCTGTTGTGGTAGTTGTGGTGCTTGTGTGGTATGTGGTGCTGTGTTGTGGGGGTTGTGGTGCTGTATTGTGGTAGTTGTGGTGCTTGTGTGGTATGTGGTGCTGTGTTGTGGGGGTTGTGGTGCTGTATTGTGGTAGTTGTGGTGCTTGTGTGGTATGTGGTGCTGTGTTGTGGGGGTTGTGGTGCTGTGTTGTGGTAGTTGTGATGGTTTTCGTTATGGTACCCATGGTGGTGGTGTACTGTACTGTGATAATGAGCCTTTGTGTGTGTGGTAGCTAAGTGTGTGGTGATATGTATTGTGGTATGGTGGAAATGTGTTGGGTGAGATGTGGTGTGATATTACATGATAGTGGGGCTTCTCATCGGTGGAGTGGAGGGGGGGGGGAGGCAGGGCAAGAAGGAAATGGTTTTAAGGAGGAGGTGAAGAAAGAGTTTGAGGAGGTGGAGAGAATGTGCAGGAGGAGGAGGAGAGGGGTGGAAGAAGAGTTGGAGGTGGATAATGAATTAGAGAAGGAGGAATACAATGGGTGGAGGAGGAGGAGGGAGAAGAGGTGGAGGAGAAAGAAGAGGAGGAGGAGGAAGAGGTAACAAGAGGGAGTGAACATTGAAGGCAGCCCAACAGCACCTCCTTCAGCCTCGCCGGATTTCACGTAACCTGGTGAATGCTGCCATTGTTGTTTACCGCTGGCAGGCTGGTGTGTGTGTGTGTGTGTGTGTGTGTGTGTGTGTGTGTTTTAAACGTATACATTGCCTGCCTGGATAACCAAATATGTCCTATCCACATCACCCTCTCTCTACACACAATAACACTACCATAACTCTCTCTCTCTCTCGTGCCACCAATTTGTTTCTGGACACATCCTTCACCACACTTCTTGCATCACGTCAGTCATTATATACCACACACACCACACCCACCTTAACCACTCTCCTCCGTTTTCTGTACTCCTCTGTTTTCTTTACTCCCGTTTTCTCTATTCTCCTCCAATTTCTTTACTCTCCTCCATTTTTCCGTTTTCTTTATTCTGTTTTCTTTGTTCTCCGTTTTCTATATAAACTTTTCCTTCCTATTCTATGATATTTATTTACGTTTCAATTGCACTTATTTTTATTTATTTATTTACCATTTAATCTCCTTTATCTTATCCCACTTATTTTTATTATTATTATTATTATTATTATTTTGTGGTTACGCGTTCGTTGTCATTCCATTGTCCAGGTATGAAAAATAACCTGGGCTTCCTGGCGAGTTAATTTTTTTTTGTGTGAACTATAGATAAGGGATCGTGTTGGTTACTGCTCCCCACCAGATCTTGTATGGTAAGGTGGTTGTTGTTTTTCTCTCCTTTGTTGGGCTTCTCTCTCTCTGTTTTTGTCTATCTATCCATCTATCTGTCTGTCTATCTATCTATATGTCAATCGTATCTATCTATCTATCTGTCTCCTTTAGGCGTCCTGAATACTGGACATGTTGACGCCGTGTGTGTGTGTGTGTGTGTGTGTGTGTGTGTGTGTCATCATCATCTAATTTAGACTTGTGTATACGTCTTTGTTTACATGTTCATTTTATCATAATTCCAAGGCGAAGCTAGCTCTCTCTCTCTCTCTCTCTCTCTCTCTCTCTCTCTCTCCCTCTCTCTCTCTCTCTCTCTCTCTCTATGGTAATGAATAAAGGTCACACCTACTGATGCCTCTCACTTCTCAAGGTCGCCAAGAGAGGATAAGAGACGATGAGACCATAGAAAGGCCGCCTCTTGGGGGTACTGGCCACTGCATGTGTGTGTGTGGGGGAGGGGGTGTGTAGTTAGTTATGTGTGGTGGGAGGGTAGTAGTGGTTGTTGTGTGTGGGGGTAGTAGTGGTTGTTTGTGTGTGGGGGTAGTAGTGGTTGTTTGTGTGTGGGGGTAGTAGTGGTTGTTTGTGTGGGGGTAGTAGTGGTTGTTTGTGTGGGGGGTAGTAGTGGTTGTTTGTGTGTGGGGGGTAGTAGTGGTTGTTTGTGTGTAGGGGTAGTAGTGGTTGTTTGTGTGTGGGGGTAGTAGTGGTTGTTTGTGTGTGGGGGTAGTAGTGGTTGTTTGTGTGTGGGGGGTAGTAGTGGTTGTTTGTGTGTGGGGTAGTAGTGGTTGTTTGTGTGTGGGGGTAGTAGTGGTTGTTTGTGTGTGTGGGGGTAGTAGTGGTTGTTTGTGTGTGGGGGTAGTAGTGGTTGTTTGTGTGTGGGGGTAGTAGTGGTTGTTTGTGTGTGGGGGTAGTAGTGGTTGTTTGTGGGGGTAGTAGTGGTTGTTTGTGTGTGGGGTAGTAGTGGTTGTTTTGTGTGTGTGGGGGTAGTAGTGGTTGTTTGTGTGTGGGGTAGTAGTGGTTG